AAATCGGTGAAGCCAGGATTAAACTAAATTTATACCCATGCAAAATGGGAGTCGTGCCCAAGAACTGCTGGCCTAGTTAGTAACTGATAGGGTCGGGTAAAGTCGGTATAGTGGGTTCGAATCCTGCTTGGACACTCTTTTTCAATTTTCTATTGGTGGAAGCGCGGGCTCGCTCGCAGTGAAAACTCGAAACGCGTCGCGGCAAAAGCTTCTCGCCCCGGAGCGCCACCATCAGAGTAAGACTGCGCGCTTGAAAGTGGTTCGTTCCGGAAATTTTAATTCTTTCCGAAGGTCAATATCTCGGAAACGGAAGAGATTGGGAAAAATTGAAAACGCAGTTCAATTTCTCTTGTTTCAATACCCTTTTTTCATTCATAATTCTCAGAACTAAATTTTGGTCCGATTTGCGTTCGGTCCCTAAATGTAGCAGATGAGCTCAATTCTCACAGATGTCTTGTACACTTGTGCTCCTTCGGACTCAAATTGAAACTTCTGCTCATGTTTATGATTTTTCTTAATCCTAGTGGCTGAATATGACCAAAAATGATGGTTTTAGGGGTTTCGAGAAGAAAACTTTGGATTTATTTGAAAAGATTTTAAAATTTTAACTACCGTGGTTTTCCATCTTAAGAGCGCCCAACTTAAGAGCGTTTTTGCCAATATTTTCCAAATTTTGTTATCTGAGAAAATCCCAACTTTAGAGCGTTTTTAGGAATTATTAATTAATAATTAGAATAACGTTTATTTCAACCTGAAAAATCATTGAAAAAATTGTTTTCTACGCTTTTTCTCAGGTGAAATCATAGCCTCTGATTCAAAGATCGTAATTTTTTTATCATAAATAGGTAAAAATGACCTCAGATGCATTTTTAGAGTTCGCAAAGCGAATCCAGACCCCTGGTCCACAAATATGACTTCGCCGATTTTGCTCGGCACCGGGACTTCTTTAATCGACTTTGATTCAAAGACCAGCTTTTTAGGTCAGCGTTTTTATAACTTTTTTGGCTTGAGGTATCTTCAAAATTTTAACTGGAGGATGATCCTTGGCCAAAAAATTTTTCACCGGTCGAATTTTTGAACCGGCCGGTTAAACTCGCGGTAAATCGCGGTTCAGCCCCTTATGACCCGAAAATACCCCTGATATGGGTATCAATCGACTTCCTATGAAATTTCGAGTCAAATGAAATATGCACCGCGGTCAACCGCACTTAACCGGGCGGTTAAAATCGCGGTTTAGTCCTTTTGACCTTCAAAGACCCCTAATACGGGTATCAATCGACTTCTTATTCAATTTCTTATCATAATTAATATAAACCGCGGTTAATAGCGATGAACTGGCCGGTTCATTCGCGCTTAATCGTGGTTCAGCCGTTTTTTCATGCTAAAACTCCCCTTCAGCAACTCACAACCTCAACTAAAACCACCTTCTACAAAAAATGAATAAGAAATTTCTTAAAAAAGAACACCATAATAGCTAAAAAGAAGGGAGAATGTGATAAAAAATAAACACGGGTGCGGGTGGGGCTGGGGACAGAACTAAGACTGATCACCTTAGTTTTCATCCCGGCCTTAATCAAGCCTTCGGGCCGTCAAGCCCATTTTGTACATAGAAACCACTTAATTTCACTTACAGTGATAACCCATTTTAGGTTGTAGGTGGTCATGAGGGTACTTTTACCCTCGTTCGCTCTCATTCATGAACGAGGGTACCAGTACCCGCATTCGCCTTTGTCTTGAACAAGGGTACGAGTACCCCTGTTCGCTAATTTCTTTGAACGAGGGTACCAGTACCCCTGTTCTCTTTTTTCATTAACGAGGGTACGAGTACCCCTGTTCGCTAATTTCCTTGAACAAGGGTACCAGTTAGGTAACCCTAACTAACCCTAGCCTATCCCCCTCGGGTAATATTGTTCTGTCATTTTGCCCAGTGCCCCCTAACACTAACCCCAAATTAAAAGAAGTACTTTCAGCTATAATTGTCTTTATGTGCAAAATGTCATTTTAGTAAAAAGTAAAGAGGGAGTCCCTTGCGTTGGAGATGGAGGGAGGACTGGTAAAGGAGGTAACTTGATACCCTCGTTCAGAGAAAATGCGAACGGGGGTACTCGGTACCCTCATTCATAAAAATATGCGAACAGGGGTACAAGTACCCTCATTCAAGAAAAATAGCGAACAAGGGTACGGGTACCCTCGTTCATGATGGAAAGCGAACAAGGGTACGGTACCCTCATGACCGCATACCACCCCCATTTTAAGGCCGATTTTCGGATGACAGCGAATTTCAAAAAGGCCTTAAAATGGATATTTTATGTCTCGAATTGGATGACAAAAAATTTTTTTCATTCTTTGGAAAAAATGATGAATGAAGGTAATGGGGTTATCGGCGATAACTTATCGCATATTTATCTCGCTGAAGAAAGTATAAATCATGGACTTTTTCCAAATGTGTCCTTCGAATTGAACTCAAGGTGATTCTTTTTTCATTATTTCAAAAATAATATTCGAAAAACACGTCTGAAAAATGATTAACATGACAAATGCTAAGAAAAAAGATATGAAGAGATTCTAGTGAAGACCTCAAAGAGCAGTGACGTGGAGAAGGGTTGTGACTTCCAACCTTTCGGGATCCCGAATGTTTCGGGATTTCCCGAATCTTTCGGGATTGCCCGAATCTTTCGGGAGTTTTGTTGAGGATAACGTTATAAAAAATGGCACAAATGCCGAATTAGGTCATTTAACTAACCAAAAGATAACTCTATCTGCCTTCGTCGAATTCGATGGTCTAAGAAGGCCAGACAATTTATAACTGTTTAATTTGTAGTAAAAGAGAATGTGTGCGCTCCGCGCCTGTTTTATAGAGAACTTCATGAGTTAAAGGCTCCCATGAGCTCAGATTGTGCACCGATAAGTAGGTAAATCCTCTTTTCCGGCGCCAAAAAGCAGGTGTTTTCGAGTTTTGCGCGCTCTTACAATAAGTAAAATTCATCGGAACTTTTTCAAAATGGTATCAGCAGAAAAAAATTTTCAAGCTTTCAGAAAATATGTAATTTGCTACACTTAATTGAGAATTTTGCCATTTTCACAAAGCATTTCTATCGAAGGCTAATGCATAAGCGCGCTCATAGAAAAAGTCATATCTCGAGAAGTAGATAAGATATTGAAGATCTGAAAAAGGTTCGGAATCAGAATTTCCTAAATAAGAAGAAAAATTTGAGTCACCGAATTAGACAGTCTCGGCCTCGATCGTTGGGGACACCCTTAAATGATAAAATTTGCCATTTTTCGAAGAAAAATTTATCAAAAATTCTTACGCTTTACGGCAGGACATTTTTTGCGTTTTAAAAATTTTTCAAGAGACTCCAACTGCATTTCATTGGTATTGCAATCTACGGAAAAAATGCTATTTTCTGATAGGTGAATCGTTTTGTGCACTCGTGTTCAAAAAATTCTGGAGCCAATTCTTTCTCCAAAATCGCTTCTCTGTCCAAGGTGTTCGATTCCCGACGAAAACACTATTTTTTCATTCATTTTTATGTTGTTACGGTCGAGAATAAGAATCTTTTGAATAATATTAAAGTCAAAATATATCATTCCAGAAAAATCCATTTTAAGGCCACTTTTCCGGGAAACCTTCGAAACTATTCTGCATGCAGAATAGTTCTGCAAAATGCAGAATAGTTTCGTCGAAAAAGGGCTTTTTCCGACAAAATAGTTCTGCATATAAGATAAACGACTTTTTATAAAAAGAGGCGCGAGAGTAGAGAAAAGCGGCCACCTTAAGAAATGAGTTCCCTACCAGAATTTGCGCGCAAGGGCCGAAGGCCCGCCGCATGCTTTCAAACAGTGGAATTTTGATATATTATATGTCCCCCTTACGAGCATCTTTACCCAAAATTTCGACCCTCGAAAATCGTAAAAATGCATGTAATTTGTACTAATTCTTGTTTGTCCAGAATATTTTCTGCAACATCGAGATCTTCAAACTGCTCGATTTCTTCTCGAAAATAATTTTTTGAAGTAGTCCTTTGTTGATCCATGATCGCTTGAAGATTGCTGGGTTCAAGTCCGTGAAGATTTCGATGGGGATTTTTGATCCATTTCTCTGATTTGTTGGCAGAAAAATATTTTTGAAAGAATGAAAGAAAGAATCATCAAGAGTCCAATTTAAAGAACACATTTTGAATCATACTTGGTTCGGGCGATAGAAACATGCGGTAGACTCGGGCCTTCCTCTATAAGCCCTTATGATTCATTTTTGTCCCAAAAATATGGGAAAATTTGTTGTCATCCGACGAAAGGCAAAAATATCCATTTTAAGGCCACTTTTGAAATTCGCTGTCATCCAAAAAGGGGCCTTAAAATGGGTTTTCACTGTAGTTCTGTACTTGTGCAGAATAGTTCTGTATTATGCAGAATAGTTCTACATTTGCAGAATAGTTCTGCATTCGGCAGAATAGTTCTGTATTATGCAGAATAGTTCTACATTTGCAGAATAGTTCTGCATTCGGCAGAATAGTTCTGCGAAACGCAGAATAGTTATCCTTTTGCAGAATAATTCTGCATGCAGAATAGTTTCGACCCCTCCCCTTTTTTCAATTGTCATTCGAAATCCGAAAGTTTCACTAAAAAAAGCTAGTTATATTCGACTGCGTCTCCGGACATTATGAAGTCAACGGCTTCTCAGCGTCGGCATTGTGTGTCAAAAGAACAAAATTTTATCAGCAATTATTTTTCAATTACTTTGATGATAGAAAATGCAGGAAAAGCAGCTTTATCCGAGTAAAGCTCTGAATGCAGAAGATTGGGAAAATTTGCCTTTTACGGGCAGCTTTTCGGACCCACAGCTTATCGGATGTTATCCTTTAAACAAATCATGGAATATAGCATTGCGAACTGGAGCAGATCTTGCATGGTTTTCATATGTGTATCCCCTCACTTTTGTGCAAACTAAAGATGAAGGTAACTAACGAGGCACTTGATCTCCAATACTTATTTGAATTTCATTGATTCTTTTGACCTCTATCGTTTTCGTTCTTTTCTTTCTTTGTCCCGACGCTCTTTTTCTTCGCATCGAGAGATTCTTGCTCTTCTTGATCTAAATAAGCTGCTAGAGTTGGTCAATTCGGGTCTTGTTTACCGAGATTTACAGTTGCTTCTCCGAAGAAACCGCTTGGAAACCGTCCATCTTTTGCCGCTTTTAGGGCGTCAGCGATTTCAATAGCCGCATCAGCGGACATTTTCGGCTTCACAGCGCTCTTCAAAATTGCACATCTAGACATTTCCACCTGAAACAAGATTTAACTACAGTTTGGTGAAAGAGGCGCACCGTGAATGGTTTTTCATTGATTGTTTTGTCTTCAAGTTTGAGTGCGTTGATAATACTTGATTTCATAGAACTCAAAGTAACCCTAAAATGATTTGCAAAGTCGTCCAGAAGAGGTTTGGCTTACATCGCATTCTTCAGCAAAATCACCTTCGCCAGCGAGCGTACAGTACTTCACTTCTCCGCATTTTTCAAAGAACTCCAAAAGGGCTGCATTGGTAGTCTTGGATGGGTCGAGTCCGCGAATATGGATAGTTCGTGTGGGTTTGTCTTTCTTTCTCCTTGTTGTCTCCAATAAAGCATAAAAGTATAAATTTAAACAGTAAAAAGAATCACGTTGGCGAATTAGAAATGAAGAGCTTGAAGATCATGAGCAAGATGAAATTTAGGATGAAATAGCTTGTTTTGCTACAGATTCAGCTCTTCAAGCGCTGAAAATTTCAAATTTCTGGCTCGCTGACGGAAAGCACATTTCAAAGAAGAAAAACTTGGAGCGCGACAACTATGGACAATTGGAACCAAGCGCCAGGGCTATTTTTTCCTAGGTTCACTGCTGTCATGAATGATTTTAAGGAGGAGACTTATATAAGAATCCTTCGTGGTTTGAAGGGAATGCGGAAAGTTTTTTTACCTATTAATAATCTTGCAGGGACGACTTGATTCAGGCGAATGTGAGAATTCGTTTCGGCACTCATCGACGGACTGTTTGAATAGCCAGACGTAAGAATAAGTTGATTGACGAATTTGCTAAAAATGATTTTAATTTCCGCTTTTACAGAAACTTCTCGGTGATACAGTCCTCGAAATGATCCTGACTGATTTCGACGACCCTGTTAGATCAGCTTGTACAAGATTGTAAAAATCTTGTATTCAAGGGCTGTCATTTTCATCCATGGGATAAAATTTCGAGACTATCTCACCTTGGTCATTTTGGGTTGATTCGGGATCATTTTGTTTTGCCAGTATAGTATTTTTAACATCTCGAAAAGTTAATACAGATGATGAAACCTGTTCGGAGATACGCAGCTTCACTAGGATTGAAAAGTGATTATGAGCGAGCTAAAGATGTCCAAGCTGTTGTTCATTGACAAGGGTTTATCAATCTTGGAGAGCGATCAAACTTTGGTCTCTACACTTCTTTGGTTGAGGAAATTTTTGAAAAGGAAAAATGCTCGTATTCTGCCCTACTTTGGGATAAGGAAGGGCTTAAATTTAATGCTTGCGTTTGTTACCTTGGCAATGACTTTTGCTTCTGTATCAACTCGAATGACCATGGCTGTTGGCGTTGATTTCCACTCAAGAATGACCATGTTATTCGCTTCGTCGAAGACTATTCTAATGCAGCGGAAAACGATGAAGTCGTATTTTCCAAGCCCGCGCTTGACTTTCTTTCGATCTAAATTGAAAGCCCAATTAAGTTTCTTGATTATTTAAAGGCAACGTGGCTCCGAGAAGATTCATCCTATCCCCCACGTACCTGGAGTACACAATTGGCCAAAGATGCTGAAAAAGGCATATCCGACGGGACTAATAACGGAATTGAAAACTTCGTGAGTTCATTTTTGACTTGATGCATGGGTCGCCTAGTTCATCCTCTGTCGTTGCGCATTTTCTGGCGTTTACGTGACGTAAATTACGTCGGTCAAGTGCTCAGCGAGAAAGTCAGAGAAACAGTTGAATAAGTCGCCTCTGTTCATCAAATAGACGTTTCGGATGTTCTCAAAAAGCCTTGTCAGCATTTGATCTTCCTGGCAAATGTTCCACAAGAAGCTGGAAATGAGCTTGAAGACCTTTTCTGTTACTTCGTCCAGGCGATGTCCACCAAGTAGAACTAAAATTCAATATTAATTTATAGCATTCCAAGCTGGAAGGAGTTGGCTTTTCGAAAGTAAATTCAATGAGTAGAATTATTGAATTTCTTCGCGGAATTTATACGGAAAGGCGCCAAATCGAAGCTGATCTATCCGAAAATGAAAGCCTTTTCTCCCAGCAAAGAAGAACTAGAAAACTTACCATGCTTATGCGTTTCACCAAAATCTCCGAGTTCAAGAAAAAGATGGAAGAAAAAAGTGATTTTAATACTAGAAAAATTATTCTTCTTCTTCAGCTGAAGTCAATTTATTTCGCTAACAATAATGCGAAAAAGATGCTCTTTGACACTGACGCTTTTGAAAAATTCATCAAAGAAACCGATAGAACGCCTTATTTTGTACGCGCGATCAAAGAAATCCGAACTGATGATAGTTTATTATTTAGGGACCGAAAAAAATAACACAAACTAAGTCTACAGTGATTCTTGATCGTCGAAGGAAAGAAGCAGAAGAAGAGCAAGCAGGTCCAGCTGTGCCACAAGTGGTGATATGCGGTCACTGGGAGACTTTTTCCTCCCAGCTCAATTCTTACGCAAACTGCGGTCAATAGGAGACTCTAGAATTTGGGCTAGTGTTTAGGGTTAGGGGCTGGGGGCTCTTAAGGGGGTTCGGGGCGAAGCCCCTGATTTAGGCCTTAGGTGGGGGTCCCGGGGGCGCAGGGTTAGGGTTAGGGTTAGGGGCAGCTTTAATGATAACCCCTCAAAAGTCTCCCAGTTCGACAATTTTAGAATTAGGTATAATTTATACCGTATAAAGAATTAATGAAATTTAAAGCTAAAATTAATAAGCAAATCTCGAAAGAAAATTCTCATATCGCAGCACTTGGTATTGTAACGGCATTGTGTTCTGGAGAATCTCCAACTGATTTTGATGTCGAAAAGACTCGAATATTGTACATTGATAAGGTATGGCTTTCGTTAACTCTTAAATTTCCAAACAATTTTCAGTTCAATTCTGAAATTTCTCAACCAAGAAAACGAGCTCATTCTGATGACCCGCTACCAAATAAGTCAAATGTCGAGACAGCTCATCCTGAAGCAGTGGATAAATCAATATTCAATGAAATTGAGGGCTCAAATAAAACAAAAAATTTTTTTGAATTCAAATTTAGTGCTGAGAATTTGAAGGAGCCGCAAAGAAAGAAAAGAATTATCATTCCTTAGCGCCATGAAGACTATGAATATGATTAATTCGTTAATCTTCTTCGCTATTACCATGTTTCTAGAATCAACGATGATTTTAAATAAAGAACTGATCGGAAAAATGACTTATATTGTTTGTTTTCTATGAGACCTTGTGGAATTATAGAAATTACCTTTAAAAGAACTTGATTTTGCAGGTCGACCCAAGAAATCGTCTTCTCTTTATTTCTTTCTTTGTAAACAATTTTCAGCCCCATCAGAACATTGAGAGCATCATTAACTTTTCGTTTCATCAATGTCTTCTCCGATTTTCTTAAATTTCTCTACATCTCCTTCTGGTGCATCAGGGTGGTAATTCCGCTCCTTTGCTCTCACAAAAACTGATAAAGAAAGAATGCTTTGATTTTTAAATTACCTGTAAGCCTTCTACAATTCTTTCTGTTGGAAAATTCTCTGCTCCAAAGAAAGATCCAAAAGTTTGACGGCATGTGCGCGCCGATGACGATTATTATTATTCTAAAATAAAGGAGATTGGAAATATTGACTTTCGGAAATTTCTTTCAAAAACGGAAATTATGGGATTCAAAAATTGTCGGAAAATCGTTTAATAGAACGAATGAAAAAGGACAGAAAGAATCATTCTCTATTATTAATAATTATTTATTATCTAGTCGTTGTTGATTTCTTTTATAAAATTTAGACATTTGTCTATATTTCTTGGGCTTAGATTTAAATAAATTCTCAATATTTATGATTCAAGGGCCATTTTTATTAGGCTTACTTGAGTTAGCTGAAGCGCCAGACAGCACTCTAGTTTGTTTTCTTTGTGGACACCCTTGGAGCGCCTGGGGCATCGGGCCGCGCGCTCTGAAAAATGGCTCAGAATTTACGAAAAATTGTCAATTTCGTAAAATTTAGGCCATCCTCCAAAAAAATGATTTAAGATTCGAATTAAGAATACAAAATAACATTTTTTTATAATTTTTAATTTAAAAAAACGCGCGATCTTGGGTGATTTTGCATTTTTGCCCACTTTGCGGCCTCATTATTTTTCAATCCCTTTATAGATTTTTTGGGAGACCTTCGGTTCGCCAGGAAATGCTCCATCACATACGGTTCGCCAGGAAAGAAAAAATTCCATTTTTTCCTGGCGAACCGTATGTCATTTTTGGTCTCTCTAGAACGATCTATCTGTCAGAAAGTCGGTGCTTCAACGGTGCGCTATCGTCGATAGCCTATCGATGATGCAGTTTCAGAAGAAGATTGGGAGAGTCAGTTGAAGTTGAGATGAATTTTTAAAAGCAGAATTTAATTCCAGATGCGGAGGTTTTAGAAATATTAGAAGACGAAGAAGACCTTAGTACAGTGCCAGACGCACTGTTTTATGAAATACTGGGAGAAAATGATGAAAGTTATATTTCTCCATCGAGTTCGCCAGGGAGAATGGGTCGTTTGAGGTCAAAAGATACTATCATCGAAGCCCCATTTCAAACTGATAGTGATGAGTTCGAGAGTTGAATCGTTGGGAATCAATTTAACCCTTACCCTTTTTATAGAAAAGTCTATCAATCAATGTCAAAAACTTGAATCGTTGGGAATCAATTATACCCTAACCCTTTTTTCATAAAAACTCAATCAATATATTTCATAATTTTAGCAAACAATCAACCATCGTGGACTTTTTTTACGGCGGCTATGACTCATAAAAAAAGGAAAGCAAGCGAGCGCAACGCATACTTTCTCTAGATGTGCGAGTTCAAATCCAATGGGGAAAGTCGATCCTGCAACGTGGCCTTGACTTTCCTTTTTTTAATGAGTCATAGGCGCCGTAAAAAAGTCCACGATTGAAGTTTCTAGAACAGACATACGGTCCGCCAGGAAAGAAAAATACCTTCCTGGCAAATCGTAGATTTCCTGGCGAACCGGAGGTAACCGGATTTTTGCAAAAAGGGTCAAAACGCTTGTTAATTACAGTTGTTTCACATATCTAATTTTGAGAATCATACGAGCATTATTTCGGGTAGCTTTTTTGGGGAGGGGACTGAATTGTGCCGCCCTGCGTAGCCTTGCGCAGCCCTGCGCCGCCCAGCGTCGCCCGGTCCGAACCAACCCGGCTCTCATCCGACTCAACCATGACCTAAGAAAGAATTCTGAACAAGAGCGAGAGTTGGGCCCCGCCAACCCAATGAGTTCTCTACCAGAAAATGCGCGCGTAAGGGCCTCTGGCCCGTCGCGTGCTCAATTAATTAGTGATTTTATGCCGAAATCTGAGTTTTGTTGAGAATTTCTCTACTTGCACCCTTAATTATAGGTTTACCTTTTTTAATTTTAAGACAATATAAATATGTCAGAATTACTTAGTTGACATGAAAATCTGACTTAACCGCTTTTGAAAGACGAAATATCTTCGGATCCGGCGAGACCGGGCGATGGTGGGCGGCGCAAGCGGCACAATTCAGTGTCTCCCTATTATTTGAGCGTGGACCCTACTCATATGCTCGGCGCGCTCATTTGCTCGGGCGCTCAAATGCTCGGGACGCTCTTTTGCACGGACACGAGCGAAAGAGTGTCCAAGCGAATGAGTGTTTGATTTTATTGGTCGACGATGAAAAATGTTATACAGCCGGAGTCCAAAATATGGGACTTTTTTGGTCCACAAATTGTCGAAAATAGTCCCTTTAATCGGGTCATGAAGGAAAATTTCCGGGCGCAGCGAAATTTTTCACAAAAATCTTCTAGAGCAGTTTTTTGCTTTTGAAGAAGCTGAAAATGCTGTTTCCATCTCTACGAATCCAGCTTCTGGAGCGTTTACGTATTTTTAATCACAGATCACTTAATTTTTCAAAAAATCTAAAATATACAAGCAACTGATTTCCTTTATCTGCTGTCGATTGAATAAAAGAAATTTTCTCGTCTGAAAAAGTCCCTTAAATTAGATTTTTTTGAGGCGCAGATTTTCGGCATTTTTCGTCAAAAAGTCCCTTATCTTGGTGTCCCTTATTTTGGACTCCGGCTACTGTACAGGACATAAATCATGACTTAGTGGTGTTAATTCTTAGGGTTTTATCGAAATACAGTTCTTTTCCTCTTTTGTGGACATTTTTTGTCCCAAAATTTTCGAAAAATGTCCACAAACTTGGGCAACGTCTTCCGAAAAAATGTCCCATCGAAATCGATTAAATTTTTTTCGAGATTTGAGTACGCCGAATGGTTTTCTAGACTTTGCATTTATGCTCCTGAAAGACTGACAAAGGCCCCTTTGTCTCTAGTTCAACCTTTAATTTTGTTTTTTCGTAAACAATGAGCAACTCGATCTTGATTAGCTAGAATTAATCTCACCACAAAAAAATTGTCTTTTTTATTTCTTTCCGCGAAAAAATGTCCACAAACTTGGAACAGCATCTTTTATAAAGTGTCCCACTTAACCCGTTAACTGGGCATCCGATCTTATGCGTTAACGGGCGCGTGGCAGTCTAAAGTCCACGCACCTTACGGTGTTTTCTGAGAAATAGGGACGAGAAAAACTAATTCCAAGGGTAAAAAATGATTTAGAAGCGTCTTCTCATTCTCCTACATCTTTTTGTTTTGTTTTTGATAAAAACTAGAGTTATTCCTATATAATCGCTCTCGAAAGGCTGCGTGGCCGTGAGACAGCCACGCGCCTGTTAACGGGTTAAAGGCCTTAAAATGGAAAAAATGTCCACAAACTTGGGGTCCACAAAAGAGGAAAAAACTGTAAATTCGAAACAATTTCAAAAACAAGTAATCACCGGGAAGAAATGAAAATGAACATTATTTTTTTCAATAAGTCATCAAGTGTTATTTAATTATTGTCCGGAATTGTTAAGATGATCATACAATGAGTCATTTTAGCGTATATTTAGAAAATGCAGCATCTAGAGTGATTATACGCTGATGATCACTTTTAATTGTTTATTTTCGGAGAAATATTCTCGCGCTAATTTTCGACCAATTAAATCAAACGCTCATTCGCTTTGGACACTCTTTCACTCGCGTCCGAGCATTTGAGCGCCCGAGCAATCGAGCGCCCGAGCAAATGAGCATGCCGAGCATTTGAGTGTGCTCCAAAATATACTTTGAAGCCCTAAAAGGGCTTAAGGGTGTCCCCAACGATCGAGGCCGAGAGAGAACTACAGTGAAAACCCATTTTAAGGCCCCTTTTTGGATGACAGCGAATTTCAAAAGTGGCCTTAAAATGGATATTTTTTGCCTTTCGTCGGATGACAACAAATTTTCCCATATTTTTGGGACAAAAATGAATCATAAGGGCTTATAGAGGAAGGCCCGAGTCTACCGCATGTTTCTATCGCCCGAACCAAGCAGGGCTGGTAAATTCGCGTCCTAAAATCTGTCGAAAAATTTTAGTGCACTAAAATTAGTGCGCGAATTAATTTTGTCGAGACTTTAGCGACTTTCGCGTCTCTTTCGCGTGTGTCTCGAAAAGTGTCGAAAATAAGGGCTGCTGATTGGCCCGCCAATGAGCGCGGGCTCTTTAATTCTAAAGAATACGTAAGTTTGAGAATTTCAAACTTCGCTAATATTAGAAATTCAAAAGTTTGGTTTCAATAAAGTGGATTGGGTAATTGAGGGCGTGAATTTTAATATAAAGTCAAAAAGACTTTGTCAATTGATTTGTTAATTTTCTTTATAAATATAAAGTAACAAATATAGCCTATATAATATAGGCTATATTATATAGAGAAAAACAATTCAACTTTTGTTTGCAACTCTTTTTGTGCTTGATTTGAATGATAAGCTTAGACTTTTAGCCTAAGATAAGCTTTCTTAGGGAGGTCTTCTCCCTAATTTTTTTTATTGAAGGGCCATCCGCAGCTTGTTATTCCTGCTTTTTCCCTTTCTTGTCAATCTTTTTCTTGTCATTGTTCGACTAATTTCGGTGTCCTCAAAAGTCTGCAGCTGGAGGAGCCTTGTGCGAATTGTTGATATGATTCTTTATTAACAAAATCAAATTTATTTTATAATCCAGAAGGGAGATCTTCTCCCAAGTTCATGCTTATCTTGTAATTCAGAAAACAGATTTGAGATTTCCTCCAAATACATTTTACTCAAAAACTTACAATGCTATATGATAGCCTATATCCTAGAAAACTAAAAAACTTTGGGAGTTCTTCATTAGCAGTTATCAACAGTGTTGGAAAACCCGCAACACGCCCCTTAAGGGTAGAACATGAAATCGGCGCGCGGCTCCTCGCTCGCCCAGCGCCCCGCCGTGCCCTACTTTTCAGAATGCCCTTAAATCGGAACGGATAAA